CGATATGTAAGTGTAAGTGCTATTGCTAATGCTGATTAGCCTTGTGTATACATATTATGGGAGTACTGTAGCCTTCGTTTGCTGGAACGGACTGGCATGGCTATACGTCTAAGACAGTTTTCCCAGCCTTATCAACTTTTAAGATATATGGACTTCAACTCCCAGAATTCCCCAGCCAGCCAGCCATTCTGGTGAGGGAATTCTGTCAATTGAAGTCCGCCCATCTTAAAGCCTGCTGACTGGGGGAATTCTGGGAGTTGAGGTCCACCCATGTTAAAGTTGGTGATGTTGAGAAATACAGACGACCTTCAGAAGAAATTATAGCCTGTTTTTCCTTCTCCTCCTCAGCCCAAGCCGACCAAGGGCCGAATGAGGATCCACTGCCTGGAGAACGTAGACAAAGCCCTCCAGTTTTTAAAGGAGCAGCGGGTCCACCTGGAAAACATGGGCTCCCACGATATTGTGGATGGCAACCACCGACTCACGCTGGGCCTCATCTGGACAATCATCCTCCGTTTCCAGGTATGTTCCGGAATGTTCCTCATTTGGGCTTTCTCCTCTGAGGGCTGCAGTGCAGCAAGAATAGAAGCCAAAAGATTGAGAGGGAGGTCCTCGCTCTGCTTTCATTTTGAAATCAAGTTTCTAGTTCTCATGACAGAAGGATAATTAAAACGATCAGGGTGTGTTGAGCCTATGGGATAAATGATTAAGGGGAAGTTGTTTTGAAATACCTGAAGGATTGTCGCACACCCGAGGGAGTGGATTTATTTTCTGTTTTTCCAGAGGGCGGGAACAAAACCGGTGTGTTAAAACTACAAGGAAGATGTTTCCAACTACGGGGAGGAACTATCAGTTGTCAGCTTATGGGTGATTCGCCACCTAGCAAGTAGTTGGACTGGATAACCTCTGAGATCCCTTCCAACTCAACCAAAGAATCTTTTTAAGCAATTCTCTATTAAGGGTGGAGATTTACCATTGTCGGCCCTTCTTTTATAATAAATTATGCATAATAGCACACAAGCAGCGTCGGTGTTGTCAAATTTTTCTGGATTTGCACTTGTTAAGCAAGATTTAGGATGTTTTTCTTCACTTTTACCTGGCCTGCCTGACATTTTCCTGGATGGCTGCAGGTTTTCATCATTATTACTTTCTATTTGGTAAGCCACCTTGAGTCGCCATGAGCGAATAGGCGGCAATATAAATTCCATAAATAAAGAAAAGAAAAAAGATACATGCACTCACACTGACTGGGAGTGACTTTGATCACTGAGCTTTTTTATTTAATCTTTTCTCTTAGATCCAAGACATCAGTGTGGAGACAGAGGATAACAAGGAGAAAAAGTCAGCAAAAGATGCTCTTCTGCTTTGGTGCCAGATGAAGACAGCGGGGTAAGAGGGTAAACAGGATGAGGCGTGTGGGGGATTCCCCCCTTCCTGGTTAACACTTGACTTGGGATTCTCCTATTTTGCATTTCAACGCCATCAGGAATTAATGTTGTGGGAAGCCAGCCGTGTGCTGCAGCTGCCCAAAAAGCCAATGCAGTCCTAGGGTGCATTAACAGGGGGACAGAATAAAGATCACGTGAAGTGTTACTACCACTCTGTAAAGCCTTAGTAAGGCCACACCTGGAATACTGCATCCGGGTTTGGTCGCCACGATATAAAAAAAGATGTTGAAACTCTGGAAAGAGTGCAGAGAAGAGCAACCAGGATGATTAGAAGAATGGAGGCTAAAACATACGAAGAATGGTTGTTGGAATTGGGTATGTCTAATCTAGTGACAAGAAGGACTGGATGTGATATGAAAGCACAGTTCCAATATTTGAGGGGCTGCCACAGAGAAGAAGGGGTTAATTTATTTTTCCAAAGCGCCAGAAGGCAGGACAAGAAACAATGGATGGAAACTAATCAAGGAGAGAAGCAACCTGGAATTAAGAAGAAATTTCCTGATGGTGAGAACAATTAATCAGTGGAACTGCTTGCCACCAGAAGTTGTAGGTGCTCCATCACTGGAAGTTTTTAAGAAGAGATTGGACAGAAACTGCCCCTCCGCCCCCCCACACACACAACCTCTTGGGCATCAGGAACCAATTCCATGGAGAGATTTTTCCACGGACCGAAGGGTTTCGTGTACCACCTGCATCCCATGATGGGGCCTTGCTTGTTTGCATGGCCTGGTTTCTGGCATGCCGCGGACCAGTGCCAGTCGACAGACTTGGGGTTGAGGACCCCTGGACTTGAAGACCCCCAAGGTCCCTTCCAACTCTGTTATTCTGTTAAGCCAGAGAAGGAGGAAAGAGATCCAGCATCAGGAAAAAGAGAGTTGGGCCAGAAGACCTGAGAAATATCCCTAAGCACTTTTTATGAATTTGCTTAAGGCACCTTAGTATTGGAGCTTTTTTTAAAAAAAAAGAAAGAAAAGGTGGTAAATTAGCTATCTTTCTTAACCCGTGTGGACTCACATTCCCAGAGTTCTTAGTAATCGCCAGGCTAGTTAAAGAATTCTGAAAATTACAGTCCAGAAAGCCCACCTGAAGTACGACTGCTATAAGGACTTATGAATCTGTAAAATATAACTTAAGGTGACTCATGAGGTTAGAACGCTGGTCTCATGATCGGCAGGCTCACGTTCGAGACCTGGTTGCTGTTGTGGGACAGTGTGAGCTCCCATCACTCGCTCCAGCTCCTGCCGATCCAGCCGTTCGAAAGCCAGTGACCGTGAGTAGGTAGATGAGAACAGTGAAAACAGTGGAAAATCACTGGCAAATCCTTTAACCACGGAAGCACTTTGTTGCTTCTGACACAGAAGGATTAGTAACTTAAGTTTAGGTTTTCTGGTTTACGTTTGTTGTGATGTGCCTTAAATCTTAGGAATTACTAGAAATCTGCAGTTATAATGCAGGTGATCCCTATGGATACATGTGTGTGTGTGTGTGTGTGTTGCATATATGTCTGTCTGTCTCCCTAGCTGTCTATCTACATAAATATATGTTTTTAAATATAAATAGATAAGTAAATGTTTCACTCTTTATCAGACCTTGCTAGTTTTTCAGTCAACACAGTGAAGTCTTTGGGTGATTTCACAAGACCTTGACTTTTTTTTTTAAAAAAAGTGACTTTTTATATACTTTTTAAAAACAAAATGTCGTCTCCCTGGTGGAGACTGACTCTGAGGGAGAGGAGGAGCAGCCGACAGGGAGTGGAAGTGTGGCTCCGGAAGTTGTGGAGGAGGCTGGGGAAGGGCAGAGGCCGGCTGGGCAGTCGGAGGAGGAGGACCCAGGGCCACCCCCTCTCCATTCTAGGGCACGCAGGGAGGAGAGGATCAGGGGGAAACAGTGGTCTACTTGGGAGGAGGGGGCCATGATCCTCTTCATGGGTTGCAGGCGTGAGATCTGCATAAGAGTTTGGGCCTGCGTGCTAACAAACGCTGGAGACAAATTAGTGTTTTATTCCTGGATGAGTGTTTTTTCCTGGATGAGGTTTATTTTGGTTGGCGTTCTTCCAACGGACTGTACCTGGTTATCTTCCTGAAGTTTGTAATTATTTATCCTGGTTTGTCATGGAACTTTCTTCAGTGCGGTTTGCTTCGTTATCTGCTCTTTGAATTTGAACTGTATGGAATGTTATTTTGAAAATAGTTTAATCTTCAACCGTGAACAATTAAACAGTGAAGCCAAGTTGAAGGCATTAAAGGACCTTTATTTACGTTTTGGTTTTTGTTATATTTTTGATACACCCCGGGTCATCACACAAAAAATATTTATTTGTATTTAATTCTGAACTCTCAGGATCTGAGGGTCACATTTGCTATGATGATGCCTGGCTTATGTGATGCTCCCCAGAATTTTTGATGAACAAAGTGGCCTCTGGAAGGAAAAGATGAGGGAACCCTGCCTTTGTGGAGAGATTAATGTTTATGGTAGAAATAAAGCAAAATAAAATACAGAGGGTCCTCTCTTCTGCTTTTTACAGGTACCCAAATGTGAATGTCCATAACTTTACCACAAGCTGGAGAGACGGTCTGGCTTTCAACGCAATTGTCCACAAACACAGGTCAGTTGGCTGAGTCGGAACTAGAACTCACTGTTTGCTGGTGATTGGCGTAAAGTCATCCAGCTGGCTTTCATGCCTAAGGTGCATGAACCGCTAGCCTGGTGCCTCAACCACTAGACCAGGGGTGTCCAACCTTGGCAACTTTAAGACTTGTGGACTTCAACTCCCAGAATTCCTCAGCCAGCAAAGCTGGCTGAGGAATTCTGGGAGTTGAAGTCCACAAGTCTTAAAGTTGCCAAGGTTGGACACCCCTGCACTAGACCAAACTTTCTTCGATTTCTCACCCAGAAAGTCATTCCTTCCCTATATTTCCCTATATTTGCATATATGTGTTTTCATCTCGGTGTCCTCAACAGGCCAGATCTGATAGACATTGATACCTTGAAGAAATGTAACGCACACTACAATCTCCAGAATGCCTTCAACGTGGCTGAAAAGGAGCTCGGCCTCACCAAACTCTTGGATCCTGAAGGTGCGTCCAGCTAGTTTCCTTTTCCCTGGGTCTTTTCTTTGGGTTGGGTCTGTGCTATCTCTGGGGGATGGTTGAATTCTGTTTTAATTTTGCAAGTTTTTTTTCCCCACGCAGATAAACACAAAATTCTATCACGGTCTTGTGAGAAACTTTAGCAACTAGGAGGCAGGTCTTTAAAGCTGCCTTCTGCCTTCTGCCCCACAAAGAACACGGTGCTTGAGTGAAAACTGAAAGAATGAAGAAGTATTAATCTCTATTTCTTCCCACCAGACGTGAATGTAGACCAACCTGATGAGAAGTCCATCATCACATACGTGGCCACCTACTACCACTATTTCTCTAAGATGAAGGCCTTGGCTGTGGAAGGGAAGCGGATTGGAAAGGTACCACCAGGAGAGCTGAGCCACTGAATATGTGTGTGCCATATTGAGGGCTGGGGAATCAGGAAATCCGGGGCAAACGAGAGCTGTAAGATAGACATCAGTTTGTGGGTTTGCGGTGGGTTAAGTTGTTGGTGGGTTAAGCCGCCAATTGTGGATAAGTAGTCTTCAACTTATGACCAAAACTGAGCCCAAAATCTATGTTGCTAAGTGAGAAATTTGTTAAGTGAATTTTGCCACATTCTCTGACTTTTGCTATGTTTGTTAAGTAACTCACTGCAGTTGTTCAGTTAGTGACATGGTTGTTAAGTAAATCTTGACTTTGCTTGTCAGAAGGTCACAAAAGGGGATCACATGACCCCAGGATATTGCAACGGTCATAAATGTGAGTCAATCGCCAAGCATCTGAATTCTGATCATGTGACCATGAGGATGCTGCAATGCTCGTAAGTGTGAAAAATGGCCACAGGTCACTTTTTTCAGTGCCGTTATAACTGGTCACTAAGTGAACTGATGTAAGTCAAGGACTATCTGTATACAAGTAGTCCTTGACTTGCAACCTCTCACTTAGCAACCCAAGTTACAATGCTACTGAAAAAAGTGACTTCTGACGGGTCCTCACACTTACAACCTTTGCAGCATCCCCAAGCGCTTGGCAATCTGCATGGATTTATGAAGATTGCAGCATGCCAGGGTCATGAGATCACCATTTGCGACCTTCCCAATGAGCAAAGTCAATGGGGGAAGCTGAATGGCTGCATGATTCACTTAATGACTGCAGTGAGTCACTTAACAACCATGGCAAAAATGATCTCATAGATCAGTTGTAATTCTCTTAACAAACCCCTTGCTTAGCCATGGACATTCTAGTCCCACTTGTGTCTATATTGGGATATATACTGTATATCTGTATATAGTACTGTATACTGTACTGTCATTATCTATACAGGTAGTCCTCGACTTACAATAGTTCATTTAGTGACTGTTCAAAGTTACAACAGCACTGAAAAAAGTGACTTATGGCTGTTTTCACACTTACAACTGTTGCAGCATCCCCGTGGTCACCTGATCAAAATTCAGAAGCTTGGCAACTGACTCATATTTATGACGGTTGCAGTATCCTAAGGTCACATGATCCCCCTTTTGCGACCTGACAATTTCATTCAATGGGAAAGCCAGATTCACTTAACAACCGTGTCCCTAACTGAACAACCGCAGTGATTCACCCAACAACTGCGACAAGAAAGGTTGTAAAACGGGGCAAAATTCCATAGGGTCTCACGCCGGGAGATGGAGGGTCCTTGCGGTAAGCAGCAGCCTCGCTTAACGACAGAAATTTGGGGCTCAGTTGTGGTCGTAAGTCGAAGGCCATCTTCTAAAGAAAGTTTTCTCGAAGTCTTCTCAAAGCAACTGGATAACTCGGTTTTTTTTGGGGGGGGAGGGTAGGTACTGGACTATGCCATTGAAGCTGACAAGCTCATAGAAAAGTACGAGACTCTGGCCTCAGATCTTCTGCAGTGGATTGAACAGACTATCTTGACCCTGAATGACCGGAAGCTGGCTAACTGCCTGAGTGGAGTGCAGAACCAGCTGCAGGCCTTTAATACCTATCGCACGGTGGAGAAGCCAGCCAAGTAAGTTTCAACAGGTTTGTTGGATGTGCTCTTGCTCCTATGGGGGCTGTCCAGAAAATACGGTGATTTTCCTAATATCCGTAGGGTCTCACACCGGGAGATGGAGGGGCCTTGTGGTAAGCGGCTGCCTGCATTTAAAAATGTGCATGTTTGTGCCCCCGTTGCTTTTTAGTTAACAACTATTCCGGGTTCTCTCCACTCCCCCACCCTGTTTATTTCGCCCTTAGATTCACGGAAAAGGGGAATCTTGAAGTTCTGCTCTTCACCATCCAGAGTAAAATGAGAGCCAACAATCAGAAAGTTTACACACCGCGGGAAGGGAGGCTGATTTCCGACATCAACAAGGTGAGACGATCCACTTGCGAAGGAGTGTATGCTGTCAACTGCCTTTAGAGGATGGGAGGACTATATTTCTCACTCAACCAATCGGATTCTGCCTGGGTTTGCACTTTGTGCTATCGAGCATGATGTGGCTTGTTTGGTTACGTTAGTGAAGCCAGGCCTGGAAGATCGTAGAACATCCTTTACAACGTAATAAAAATTGCCAGCCTCTCTCAGCTATCCATCCTGCCTTTTATTGCCTCTTCACGGACAGAAAAAGACCAGTCTTTAGAAAACAAATCACAATATATTCCTGATGTATTCCTTTGCGTATTTTCTGCCGCCTTGATTTCCATTTGAAAGAGAATAGGAATCCGTTAAGCAGATAAACAAAGCAAATATTACTAATAGGGGTATGTTCCAAGAATCCAGTGGAAGCTATCAGCTAATCATGATTAATGATTAATAAACTAATCCACTCATTTTGAAATCTGGGTTATAGTTAAGGCCAAGGCATCTGTCATTTTAACTTGGTTTTGAAAAACAAGAGTTTTCTAAGCACATCAAATGGTGCTATTATGATATGCACATGAAATCCTGGAGCTTTGAAAGCTTCCCTTCTCTTCACCCATTCAGGTTTCCAATAAATGCATCATTTTCTTTCTTTCCATCCAACTCTCTGCAGGGTTGGGAGCGTCTGGAAAAGGCAGAGCACGAAAGGGAGCTGGCTCTGCGCAATGAATTGATTCGACAAGAGAAACTGGAACAGTTGACGGCTCGCTTTGACCGCAAAGCAGCCATGAGAGAAACCTGGCTGAGTGAAAACCAGCGCCTTGTCTCCCAGGTCAGTCCTGAATGGAAAGATCTACTTGGCTCTCTTGCAGGTGGAAACCTCACCTGGATATTCCCTGAGATTTCACGGACTCTGAATTCTGCTTTGAATTAAGACGGGTTGATTCCACATGGAAAGACTTCACCTGTCCTTGGTGCCAGCTTTTAACCAGAATGAGACAGCTGGGAGCATCTTCATGTCAAGACTTCTGGTGCTGGGATGGAGATTGGAGTGACTCCTCCCCTTGTTTTATACAAGGATGCTTGGAAGTCGAAAAGTGGAAATTCTGACAAGATATCGGTGGTTCCTTTAAATAAAAAAAATGTGGATGTTTTGGAAAAGCTTCAGAAACTGGTCTCAGATGTCACCAATGCTCTGGTGCCCACAGATGTTTAGCTGCTAACTTCCTGGTCTTACTCTGAAGTGAGAGGGCATTGTGTATCTTAAATGCTTCTGTGTATAAAACAAAAAAGGCTGCCATCATGTTCTTTACCCCAGCAGTAAAATCCCTTGGTTGAGCCTTGGAGTTCTTTGACATTTGGCGGTTAGAAGGACAAAGCAGTTCCACAAAACACAATAGCATTATTTGTAGATGTGGGATGTCACTTGGATGTTCCTTCTCCTTCATAGAAGCCCATCAAGCACTTTACACTTCCCAATTCTCATTCATCCCTCACATAACATCCTGATTATTGATCTCCTTGTTCTCCTGCATCTGAATATTGATTGAGTTGGGTGTGGGACAGACAGAGAGCCAGTGCTTAAGATGCTGACTTAGAAACCAGGAGATGGTGAGTTCTAGTCCTGCCACAGCACATAAACCAGCTGGGTGACTTTGGGCCAAACACCAGGAGATGGTGAGTTCTAGTTCTGCCTTAGACATGAAAGCTGGTTGGATGATTCTGGGCCAGTCATTCCCTCTCAGCCCAACCCACCTCACAGCGTTGTTCTTGTGGGGAAAATAGGAGGAGAAAGGTATTAGCTATATTTGCCGCTGTGTGTTATTTATAAAAACAATAAAGGCAGGATATAAATAAATACTTTCCTATGATATGCTGTGTGTCTACTCTCCCCCCTCCCCCGCCCCCAAACTGCAGGATAACTTTGGCTCAGATAGTTCAGCCGTGGAGGCTGCCGTGCGCAAACACGAAGCCATCGAGACAGACATTGTGGCCTACAACGAGCGGGTGACGGCTGTGAATGCCGTGGCCGATGAGTTGGAGGCAGAGGGCTACCATGACATCAAGCGGGTGCTGGCACGCAAGAATAACGTGGTACGACTCTGGGACTACCTCCGCGAATTGGTGGCCGCACGTCGCGAACGTCTCCTGCTCCATTCTGAGCTGCAGAAGATACTTCAGGACTTGACCTACCTCATGGACTGGTTGGAAGAAATGAAGGTAAGCAGGCCGGAAGGTTGATGGATGACAAATGGGAGGATGGAGAAGAAGAAAGTCTAGGAACGGTCCTCGAGGAACATTTTAACTCGGGTTACAAAAATCCACTAAAAGAAACAGGAATCTGTTTCCTCCAATTTAATCCAATTCAGGGGTTTACTGATACAGATAGTCCTTACGACCACAATTGAGCCCAAAATTTATGTTGTTAAGCAAGACTGCTGTTAAGTGAGTTTTATGACTTTTCTTGCCACAGTCGCTAAGCGAATCGCTACAGTCGTTAAATTAGTAACACCGTTGTGAAGTGAATCTGGCTTTCCCATTGACTTTGCTTGTCAGAAGGTTGCATGTGACTCCATGATGCTGCAACCATCATAAATACGAGCCAGTTGCCTAGTGGCCGAATTTTGATCATGTGACGATGGGATACTGCAACGGTCGTGTAAAAAATGGTGATAAGTCCCTTTTTCTCCAGTGCTGTTGTAACTTTGAACAGCCACTAAATGAACTGTTGTAAATTGAGGACTACTTGTATACAAGAGAGACAAGTGTTTTGCCTAACCATTGAAAATATGTACCTAGATGCAGAATATATATCAAAGAGTTGTTCCCTCACCCATTGAAGTGTTTTATTTGTAGGGTCGCCTCCAATCTCAGGACTTTGGGAAACATTTGCATGGTGTGGATGACCTGCTTCAGATCCATGCTCTGGTGGAAGCCGACATTGCTGTCCAGGCCGAACGGGTAAAAGCCATCAGTGCTGCCACTCAACGTTTTGCCACTCCTGGAGAAGGTGCTGACCCTTAATCATACAATATTAAAATTAAGAGAATACAGAACCACAAAGCTTGGGTTGCCAACAAAGACATTAGGACAGAGGTATCCAACCTTGGCAACTTTTCAGTCAGCCATGCTGGGAGTTGACGTCCACAAATCTTAAAAGTCGTCAAGGTTGGACACCCCTATATTAAAAATTCATCTCTCAATATTTCTTGCTCCCCAAGACTGTTATCCACAGGAATGAATTTTAAGTCAAACTAGATTATCTGGTTTGAGAAGGCTGGCTCTCATTCCCTTTAGCTCTGAACTCTTTTAAGATCCTAAGTTTTCGCAGAAAACTTTTATCAATACACTGCTCAGAGTCACTTACATGAGCTGAGCAGAATCAAAATCGGACAGGCGGATGGATGGAAAGAGAAAGGGAACGAAGGAAAGAGAAAGGAAGGAAGGAAGGAAGGAAGAAAGAAAAAGAAAGAAAAGAAAGAAAAGAAAGAAAAGAAAGAAGGAAGGAAGGAAGAAAGAAAGAAAGAAAGAAAGAAAGAAAGAAAGAAAGAAAGAAAGAAAGAAAGAAAGAAAGAAAGAAAGAAAGAAAGAAAAGAGAAGGGAAAGGGAAAGGGAAAGGGAAAGGGAAAGGGAAAAGAAAGGAAATACTGGTGATCCCTGGCTTAATTATTTGTTTGGCGAGTGTCCAAAGTTAGAACAGCACTTTAAAAAAGTGAATTATGACCAGTCCTCATGCTTACCACCAATGCTGCATCCCTATAGTCACTGATCAAACTTTAGGCACTTGGCAACTGGCATGTATTTACGATGGTTGCAGCATCCCAGGGTTATATGATTGCCATTTGTGACTTTCCCAGCCAACTTTTGACAAGTAAAGTCAATGGGGAAGGAAAGCTGGATTCCAGTCAGCCATGGCTGCAATGATGTGCTTAACCACGGTGAAAAAAGGGCGTAACTCACTTAGCCAGCAACATAAATTCTGACCCCAAATTCCGATATCTGTAAGTAACATTAGTTAATGAGGTAACCCATTTGAGGCTCTGCAAATTAAAACGAGTTTAGCATGTTGTGCGAATACAGTGACTTAGGCCAGGAGTCCCCAACCTCGGGCCATGGCCCATTAATGAGCCATGGCCTATTCAAAACTGGGCCATATGAGCAACGGGCCAGTGTGCGTGCATACGCGTGCGCAGCTCAACTTGAGTAAGTCAAACCATGCCCTCTTCCTCCCACCGCCAAGCCTCAAAGTTTGAGGGCTGCTGAGTTAAGATTTTTTGCTGAGCCCTCGAAGAATGTCAGGTGAACCAAGCCCTAAGATCAATTTTCTGTCCCTGCAGGATACAAACCCTGCGATCCCCAACTTGTGGAAGAGCGAGTGGCAACGCTGAACCGGTGCTATCAGGAACTGGTGGCCTTGGCTGCCCAACGCCGTGCCAAGCTGGAGGAGTCACGCCGCCTCTGGAAGTTCTTCTGGGACATGGGGGAGGAGGAGGCTTGGATCCGCGAACAGAGCCAGATTCTCTCCTCCGATGACTTTGGCAAGGACTTGACGAGCGTGCTGCGCCTTATCAGCAAGCACAACGCTTTCCGTGATGAAATGACGGGCCGGGCTGGGCCATTGCAGCAGAGCATTGCTGAGGGTCGCCAGCTGGTATCCGAGGGCCACTTTGGAGCTACTGAGGTGGCTGAGCGGATCCAGGAAATTGAAGAGCAGTGGGAACAGCTGGAGGCTCTGTCAAGCAAGCGAGAACGGCGTCTTCTCCAAGCCTCCAACCTTTACCAGTTCCAGGCTGATGCCAACGACATGGAGGCCTGGTTGCTCGACACTCTCCGCTTGGTCTCCAGCTCGGACATGGGCCACGACGAATACTCGACCCAGAGCCTAGTCAAGAAGCACAAGGACGTGGAGGAAGAGATTCACAACCACCGGCCGGCCCTGGATGCCCTCCACGAGCAGGCCCGCAGCTTGCCCGCCAACTTTGCCCATTCCCCCGAAGTGGACGGGCGCTTGCCTGCCTTGGAGCAGCGCTACGAAGAACTGGTGGAACTGGCCAAGCATCGCAAACAGGCCCTGCAGGATGCCCTTAATCTTTACAAGATGTTCAGCGAAGCCGACGCATGCAGCCTTTGGATCAGCGAGAGGGAGTACTGGATCGAAACGATGGACGTGCCAGAGAGACTGGAAGACCTGGAAGTGGTCCAGCAAAGGTACGTGTGCCCAGGGGTGGGATTCTATCAGTTCGCACCTATTCTCTAGAACCGGTTGTTAACATTCTAAGCAGTTCGGAGAACCGGTTATTAGAAGAAATTACTGGGCTAATCCTGTAAGGAAAGCAGGAAGGAAACATTCTGGTGTTGCTTACAGAAACTGCCTCTCTGTTATTACAGTCTTGGCAGGACTGGACTTCCTGTCTCAGGAACTTCTCTGGAGTTTTTCCCCCCCTCCTTTGCTGGTACTTTGCTTGTGTGGAGTGACCATTCAAAGTTACAATGGCACTGAAAAAAGTGACTTATGACCCTTTTTCACACTTGCGACTGTTGCAGCATCCCCACAGTCATGAAAGGCCAGGCGAGGAGATGCGTGCCTCGATGTGAGTGATATTGAGTTGGCCACACCCAGCCAGTAACATGACCACCAAGCCATGTCCACCCAGTCACATGACCACCAAGCCACGCCCACCACTTAAGCCACGCCCACATAACCGGTTGTTAAAAATTTGAATCCCACCCCTGCGTATGCCCCCTTTTCCCTTCTTTTGCTAGCCAAGGACTACAGTTAACATGGTGTGGGGAGAAGTAGGCTACAAGGAAGGACCAGAGGGGCAAGGGTGAAGTTTTGGAGGGAATTTGGAGCGTGGGGGAGGACTTTGTTTTGTTTTTATTGACTTACTTATCCCACCTTTATTACTTTTATGCATAACTCAAGGTGGCAAACATATCTAAAACAACTTTCTCCTCCTATTTTCCCCACAACAACAGTCCTGTGAGGTGGCTTCGGCTGAAAATTAATGACTGACCCACCCAACTGGCTTCCATGCCTAAGGCAGGACTAGAAATCACCATCTCCTAGTGATTGGCCCAAAGTCACCCAGTTGGTCCTCAGGGTCACCTCAGTAGTGCAAATGGGTATGTAGATGATGACACAGGGTAGAAAAAAATCCTGCAGCCAAGAAGGTTCCCTACATCCATTTGCACTAATCAGGTGGCCCCGAGGATATAGACACCCTCTAAAAGGATGCAAATGACCAGCTGTCTACTGGGAGTATAAATCCTTCCATTCCCCACCATCCAAGTCAGAGCTGAAGAAGCTTCTTGGATGAGAAGCGAAATGTCTTCAAAACAAAAACCAGAAAGTCCAGTTGCCTCTGGGGAAAAACAACAACCCACGACCTGGATGACTGAGAATCTCCCTAGACACCAGTGGATAGATTGCCACCTTGCTTGACACTGGGCTTCTGAATAACACAGGCCCACCTAAAAAAAAAAAAAAGAAGAATCAATAAACCAGAAATTAAAGACAAAACGGGAACAAGATCCTAATTGTATTTGGGAGTTCAGGGACCAAACGTCCTTACATGTTGTTCAGTGTGCCAGGGATTGGTGCCAACCCTTTAGGGAAGTATTAATTTGCAGATTTTATATTCCGCTCCATCCTAGCCCCGTAGCAAGAAAAGCAGGTGCCTTTGCTGCTGGCTGTTTCCACTGTCTTATTTCTCACCGCCATTTTAAAATATGAAAAGCCCAAACGATGTTCGTTGTCAGGCAGCTGCACAGGTGATCCTTGCCTTACGACCACATTTGGGAGCAGAATTGCCATTGCCAAACAAAGCAGCTGTTAAATGATCCGCGCTCGATTTTACGGCCTTTTTGGCCACAATGGTTAAGCTTATCTCTGCCATGATTAAGGGAATCACGTGGCCGTTAAGTGAATCTAGCTTTCGCCATTGACTTTGCTTGTCCAAAACTGACTGGGAAAGTCACAAATGGCAATCACATGACCCCAGGACTTTGCCATAAATACACATAAATACACGCCGGTTGCCAAGCGCCCAAATTTTGATCATGTGGGGATGCTGCGGTGTGTCATGACCCAGTGTGGGATACAAAACAAACACAGTCACAAAAAAACAGGTGAAGCCCCTTTTATTCCTTCACTTTGCTTCCAGGCTCCAAATATCCTTGACTGGAGACAAAAAACTCCCACATGAGCAGTTACAAGAAGGAGGAAATGCCGGTTTAAACTAAAAATGCCTATAAATTATAAAGGGTAAAAAAATAACCCTCTCCTCACCAGTAGACCATGTCTCTCCCTTATCCTGTCCTCCCTGCGTGCCCTAGGATGGAGAGGGGACGGGCCTGGGTCCTCCTCTGACTGCCCAGCCGGCCTCTGCCCTTCCCCAGCCTCCTCCACAACCTCCGCAGAGCCACACTCCCACTCCCTGTTGGCTGTTCCTCCTCTCCCTCGGAGTCAGTCTCCACCCATGTCACGGTGGTTCTAACTGCAAGCACCGGTCATAAGTCACTTTTTACAGTGCTGTTGTAATTTTGAGCAGCAATGAGTGGTTGTAATTAGAGGACTAAATGCCTGTGGAGATTCTCAGTTATCCAGGTCATGGTTGTCCCAAAGGTGCTTTTTCAAAAGGCAACTGGACTTTTGTTTTTCATTGAAGATGCTTTGCTTCTCATCCAAGAAGCTTCTTCACTTCTGACTTCAAGGAAAAATAAAGTCCTTTTGGGGGGAAAAAAAACAAAAAAACCACCTTTGGGACAATTTGGGGACCCCTTGGGAGAAGTCTAAAACAACAGACCAAATGTTATTCCTGCTGTGAGATAGAGCTGGAAGGCTGCAGACTTTCCTTCTCACGGTTTTCCTTCTCCTTTGATTCTCGGTGACTCAGGTTTGAGACCCTGGAGCCAGAAATGAATAACCTGGCCTCTCGCATTGCGGCAGTCAACGAGATTGCAAGCCAACTTTTGGGCGCCGATCACAGAAACAAGGAAAGCATTCAAGCCACCCAGGAACAGCTCAATATTCGGTACGTGCCCAGAGGTGCAAGAGAAGGGATGGAGACCAGATATGGAGAGGGGAGCTGTCAGCTTGTGCCGTGGAATGGGAAACATCAACTACTGCAAACTTCAAAGGAAGCCAAAAGCTTCTAACACTTTGCCCCACCTGCCTCAAAGCTTGTCGAGGGTTTTAATTAAAAGAGATGAAGGGGAAGCAGCAGGCATGTTGGAAAGCAAAGCAGCAGCTTTCAGCTATTTTCTAAAAAAGCCAATTTGCTGCCTGTGGATCCCCGAGGCATTCCCAGAAAATAAAAATGGAGAGTGGAGGCCGAAACTACCTGTTCTTCTACCCAGAAAAAAATAAAATAAAAATAAGATACGACAGTAAAAGCCAAGATCAAGACTGGGACCTTGGTGCTCTCTGAGCTTGGTGGTTTCCTCACAGACATTTCATGACCCAACTAGGTAACATCATCAGTGCTAGAAGGAAGAGGGTTTGTTTTCTATCCCAGTGGCTCCCAACATTTTTTAAAACCAGTGATACCGTGGTGGCACAGTGGTTAGAATACTGCACCAATACCAATACTGCAGGCTACTTATGCCGATTGCCAGATGCTGGGCAGTTCGATCCTCCCTGGCTCAAGGTTGCCTCAGCCTTCCATCCTTCTGAAGTCAGTGAAACAAGGATCCAGATTTTGGGGGGCAATTTGCTGACTGTAAATTGCTTAGGGAGCGCAGTAAAACACTATTAAGCAGTATATAAGTCTAAGTGCTATTGCTATTGCTTGCACAGATAGGTTCCTAACAATCCATGGCCCGGGAATTGGGGAACCCTGCTCTACACCATTCAAAGGAGACAATTAGAAATACATTTGGAATTTTAAGACCGTACTACTAAAGAAGAATATTTGTGGCTCAGGATTTAACTGTGGGGTCCTTGGTGCTCTCTGAGCTCGGTTGTTTTCTTGTAGACATTTCATTACCCAATGAGTAACATCATCAGTGCTAGAAGAGAGTGGAGTTTGCTCTCTGTTTACATACTAGAGGCAGTGTTGGTGGGAATGTTCCCAGTGGTTTTTCTCTTCTATCAGTGCACCCTGAGGGCTAAAAGATGTGACGGGGGAATCTTTACTTATTTGCCAGACAGCCAATATTTTCCCACCTGGGCATCCATCATGGATGCCAATTTGTGAGAAGGCCCATCATCCTATTTTTAAAGGCTCAAACTAGCCTCAAAAGTTGGGGAACCCTTAGCTCAGGGGTCTCCAACCTTGGCAAGTTTGAGACTTGTGGACTTCAACTCCCACGATTCCTCAGCCAGCCACGCGGCATCTCCTTTAGACTCCTCTCCTTCCCTGTTTCCAGGTGGCAGCAGTTCCAGTCCTTGGCCAGCCAAAAGAAGGAGGCCTTGACCTCAGCCCTCAGCATCCAGAACTACTTCTTGGAGTGCAACGAAACCAAGGCTTGGATGCGGGAGAAGACCAAGGTGATCGAATCAACGCAAGGCCTGGGCAACGACCTAGCAGGGGTGATGGCTCTGCAGCGCAAGCTGGCTGGAATGGAGCGGGATCTGGAGGCCATCCAGGGCAAAGTCAGGGACTTGCACGAGGAGGCAGACCGGTTGTCAGCCCAGCACCCGGAACAAGCCGCTGCCATCTCCAGCCGGCTCGCCGAAATCGATGGGACTTGGGACGAGCTGCGGGGAACCATGCGGCGTCGCGAGGAGTCCCTGGGAGAAGCCAGCAAGCTCCAGGGCTTCCTGCGTGACCTGGATGACTTCCAGGCGTGGCTCTTGCGCACCCAGACCGCCATTGCCTCGGAGGACGTCCCGGCCACCCTGCCAGAGGCGGAGCAGCTGCTGAGCCAGCACGAGACCATCCGCAACGAGGTGGAGCATTACAAGGGCGACTACCAGCGATTGCGGACCATGGGGGAAGAAGTGACGCAAGGCCACACCGACGCCCAGCACATGTTCCTTCAGCAGCGCCTTCAGGCCCTCGACACGGGCTGGAACGAACTCGGGCAGATGTGGGAGAACCGGCACCAGCTGCTTTCGCGGGCTTACGGCTTCCAGGTCTTCCTGAGGGACACTAAGCAAGTGGAAGGAGTGCTCAGCAACCAGGTAAAGCACAGAGAGAGAGGCCTGGAGGGTGGTGGGGACTTGCAGTCGGAGGCTGAACTTTTGTTTGGCTCCTTCACAGGACCAATGGTTTGCTTGTGTTGTGATCTTTTTTTTGGTGACCTTCCTCTTTCTTTCTTTTTCTTCCCTCCCTCTTTTTCTTTTCCCCTTCCTTCTTTTCCATCCTTTTATTTCTTTTTGCCTCCCTCCCTCCCTCCCTCCCTCCCTTCTTTTCTTCTTCCTCTCCTTCCCTCTATTTCTGTCTTCCTTCCTTCGTCCCTTCCTTCTTCTCTCCTTCCCCTTCTTTCTTTCCTCCCTCCCTCTCCCCTTCCCTTCCTCCCTCTTTCTCTTTTCCTTCCTTCCTTCCTTCTTTTCCATCCTATTTCTCTTTGCCTCCCTCCCTCCCTCCCTTTCTCTTTCCTTCCTTCTTTCCCCCTTTCTCTCTTTCCCGTCCTTCTATTTCTCTGTTTGCTTTTCTTCCTTCCTCCATCCTTTTCTCCCCCTTCCCTTCTTCCCTCCTTCCCTCCCAGGAATACGTATTGACTCACACCAGCATGCCCAGCTCTCTCCAGGCTGCGGAGGCTGCCATTAAGAAACACGAAGATTTCATGACCACCATGGAAGCCAACGGGGAGAAGATCAAAGGCCTTGTGGACTCTGGGCGGAAACTCATTCTGGAAGACAGCCTGCACTCTGACAAGATCCAGGAGAAGGTCAACTCTATTGACAGTCGGTGAGCTTCAAAAAGACTCTTGGTGAAAAATGTCATTCCAGGCCAGGGAACACAAGTGTGAGAAAGAGGCTGTTTTGCATCCACAAAAGGTTCTCTTGTCAGGGAATTTATAGAGTAACCCGGAGAGGAAACATGATTTCCTAGTACTATAAAAAGAAAGCGCAAGAAGCTCCAGTCAAATCTCCACTCGGCTGCGGTTGGTGAGCCAATTATTCAGGCTAATCTACCTTGTAGGATAATTGTCGGGATAAAGTTTGAAGGAGAACCACCCACGTTGCCCTAAGCTGCTCAGGCGAAGCCAAGGATACGAATGTGATCGGCCGACAGGAACGGTTTGAAACAGGCTAAAAACCCTGGATATTGGCTTTCCTATTTCACATGGCACAAGATTTCTTTTGCTTGGGGCTATCAGAGCTTGCCAGCGTACAGGATTGTTTTCAAGGTGCTTGGTCAGATCCAAGCCTCTCCTAAACTGAGCTGTTGGAATGGGGTTCTGAAATGTGGAGTAGGCTTGGATAGCAAGAGGGAAAAGGGAAAAGCCACATCCGGGTAGTCCTCCATTTCTGACCGTTCGTTTAATGACCGTTCAAAGTTACAATGGGGCACTGAAAAAAGTGACTTAAGACCCCCCGTCACACTTAATGATTGTTGCAGCATCCCCACGGCAATGTGACTTACATTGGGATGCTTGACAACGGACTCACATTTATGACGGTCGCAGTGTCCCAGGACCAGGTGATCCCCTTCGGCAACCTTCTGACAAGCCATGTCAAGGGGGAAACTGGGGTCACTTAACAATCGTGTAACTAATTTAAGAACTGCAGGAATTCACTTAACGAAGGGGGCGAGAAAAGTTGTAAAATGAGGCAAAACTTAACACATTTCTCACCTAGCAACAGAAATTTTGGGCTCCGTTGTGGTTGCACGTTGAGGACTACCTGTAATAATTATGTATGCAGGCCTGAGTTCTCACCGCCAAAGCCCATTTCAGCTTAACTGCATCAGGGCCCAACGAGGGTCTAGTCACAAAAACTCTGCTCCTGTTTCTTGGTAGTTTAAGACAAGGGTCGCCAACCTTTTGGACCTCAGGGACCACCAACTCATAATTTTAAATCCCGCAGACCATTAATATGAATTTTGACTGACGGTGGCTTGCTGATGTTGGTGGGAAAGTCGGTCCCATATTCCAGAGCTGGAGTAGTCACAGGACTGGCCCTTTGGTCATCCTGGAGTAGCTGCTCCTCCCCCTGGGTGCACCGGCCTGCCATGGACTGGAGGAGCTGCTCTGGGATGACCAAAGGGCCAGTCCTGTGACTCCTCCAGCTCTGGAATATGGGACCGACTTTCCCACCAACGTCAGCAAGCCACCCCGGGGCGAATTTCCCTCCCCCGCCATTGGTCTTACCTTCCAGTTCCAGCTTGCGTGGCTCTACTCAAGGTAAGAGTTGCGCTTGGCCAAAGGGTGGGGGCCAGTGGGTGGGCGGGCCATGTGGGCGGCTCAGCCTTGTGTTCCCACGCAGCCTGGATTAATTGCTTTGGGGGGGGGCATTTCTCTGTGGACCACCATGGTCCGCATGGTTTAAGGCATGGCCAGCTGAGGGATTCTGGGAGTTGAAGTCCACACAGCTTAAAGTGGCTGAGGTTGAAAAACACTCCTGTAAAGGTTCAACACAGCCTTCCCAAATGCATTAGGACCGCAACCCCGGACAGAATTCCCAGACAGCAAGGTTCAGGATGTAAGCGCATGGAATCAATCTCTTCAAATATTAATCAGGCATTCTCCATTCTCTTGCAAGCGATGCTCCTCTGGGGGATAGTATATGACTAACTCATGCCCGGGTCTTCCTTTTTGCTTCTCCATCCTAATTGCTTTCAGACACAGAAAAAACCAGGAAGCCGCTCAAGATCTCCTGGCCCGGCTCCGGGACAATCGAGTCCTTCAACATTTCCTGCAAGATTGTCAAGAGGTAAGTTTGATTGAGTCTCCTGATAGAAGGTACAAGACTGGGAGGGCAACTGGGGGAGGGACATTTATTAGTCGATGTAGAAGCTGGGACATGTTGCTAGACAGAATATGACCTGGAAACTCTAATCCAGCTTTGGCATAGACGTAGTCCTCAATTTGCAACCATTCATTCAGCGACCATTTGAAGTCACAATGGCACCGACAGAAGCGGCTTACAAATGATCCTCGTGCTTGCAACCCCTGCAGCACCTCTACGGTCACAGGATCAAAATTTGGGTCCTCGGCACGTATCGATGGCCGTTGTGGCCTCCTGGGGTCAGGCGATTCCCATTTGCGACCTTCCCAGCTAATTTCCACCAAGTGAAATCGGTCGGGGGGGAAGCCCGTGTCCTTGTAACCATCGCACGATTTATTTAACAGCTGCTGTGGTTCCCTTAACAACCGTGGCAAAAGAAAGGTCGCAAAAAATGAGCGTGACTCATTTAATAAGAGAACACTGCCCAGAGTCGCTTTAGACGAGGGAGATGGGTGGCAGATTTAATCAAGAAAGTAGCAGCTGCCTTGCTTAGCAACAGAAATTCTGGTCCCGAGTGTGGTTGTAAGTTGAGTATCAACCCTGAAGCAAACCTGGCTGTCTAGCTGTATTGTCTACCCTTAGCAGGAGAAAAACACAGCTAGTGGCAGGCAATTTCCATAGAAACATATGAAGGTCAATCAGAATTCATCTTAATTCCTTAAGTCGCTTTTAAGACTGTTTGGGTTCCTGCCTATCACACAATCAGGATGTGCACAGAAGGGAAGATTAAGGGTCCTTGCTGCTATCTGAGCTTGGTTTTTTTCCTTGCAGAACATTATGTTACGCAAACTAGGTAACACGTTCTGGAAACGTTCTGCTAGAAAACAAATAAGCTCAGAGAGTGCCAAGAAACACCCCGAGCAGCAAATATTCTCCTTCAAGGGGTAGATTTCCCAGTCCTCAATTTGGAATGTGGCTTTCCCAGATTAAGTTCACGCTTGAAGCCCTTGTCCTGTCTGTCTCCAGCTCACTCTGTGGATCAACGAAAAGATGCTGTCAGCCCAGGACATGTCCTATGACGAAGCCCGAAACCTCCACACCAAGTGGCAGAAGCACCAGGCCTTCATGGCGGAGTTGGCCTCCAACAAAGGCTGGCTTGAGAAGATCCAAAAGGTGGGCTTAAACATGGATGAACACCTGTTGCCTTTGGCTTAGCTTTGGCTTGCCCTTCTTTCTTCTTCAGCTCGCCCTTTTTCGTTCTTGAAACACATTTCTGAAACCTTCTCCTCTCCTCCTTTCTCATCTCTCCCATTTGGCAGGAAGGGGAGCAGCTGGTGTCAGAGAAGCCTGAATTGGAGCCCGTGGTGAGGGCCAAACTGGATGAACTTCAGAAACTCTGGCAAGAATTGGAATCCAGCACCCAGAGCAAGGCTCGTTGTCTCTTCGATGCCAACCGGGCCGAGCTCTTCACTCAGAGCTGCTCGGCCCTGGAAGCTTGGCTCAGTGGCCTGCAGGCTCAGCTACTCTCTGACGACTATGGCAAGGACCTGACCAGCGTCAACATTTTGCTCAAGAAACAGCAGGTAAATGAGTGGATCCTTTGCCGTGATGGTGTCAATATTTTGCGTCAAAAGAAATCAACTCTCCAAACCCTTCTGAATAATGGAATAGAATAGAATAAGAAGGGACCTTGGAGGTCTTCTAGTCCAACCCCCCCTGCTCAAGTAGGAGACCCTAGGCCATCCCAGAGAAGGAACTGTCCAGTTTCTTTCTAAAAACATCCAGTGTTGGAGCACCCACAACTTCTGAAGGTAAACTGTTAATTAATTCACTATCAGGATATTTCTCCTTAGTTCCACCTTGCTTCTCTCCTTGATTAATTTCCACTCGTTGCTTCTTTCTTGTCCTGCCTTCAGGTGCTTAGGACAATATCCTTCTGGAGATTCTCAAAAATGTCCTCCTGGAGATACACTTCAATACCTCCTTTGCAGAAGGGGCTGGAAAGCCCTCTGCCCAAAACCTTGAAGTATTGCCAATGCTTGCTTTCTTGGCAATAATGATTAGTTGACCTGGAATGTAGGAAAGTGTTCCACGTTGTACCAATCGCATCTCTGCAACAAAACATGAAAGTTGCCCTGGTCTTTGTGTGTAACAAAGGCTGTGAATTATAAGCCAGAGAGTTTATTAGACATTGTGCCTAGAATCACTGTTTCTTTTGGCTAACAAAAGAATCTCTAAAACCACCCCCACCCACACAGACAAGTCACCTGAATACAAACCGACAGCAAACTGCACTCCTTAACTAGCACTGATGATGTTACCTAGTTTGGGTCGTGAACCGTCTGCAAGGAAACAAGCAACCTCAGAGAGCTCTCATGTCAACCCTGAGCTACAGATATTCTCCTTTATTAGCAATGCAGCCTTCAGGGAGATGCCCCTCGAAAGGTGATAACCAAGCACATTCAAATGTACCCGGAAGGAGACTGACAGCCAGTACGCAACTGGAGGCTTGTGCAAAACTGTTTGGGCTGCTGCATTCTGAACCAATTGAAATTTCCAGATCTTCTTCAAGGGCAGCCAGTCCCAGGTGGAATTATTGCTATTGGAAGAAAAAAGGCATTTTTTTAATAAAAAAAAGTATGCGTTTGTGGGTCAGTGTGTGAGCTTGTAGATGTGGTTGAGAGAGCTCCTTGACCGTTTTCTTTCCTTCTTGCCTCCAGTTGCTGGAGAACCAGATGGACGTGCGGGAGAAAGAGGTGGAAGGACTGAAGTCTCAGGCATTGGCCCTCAGCCAGGAGGACTCCAACACAGTGGAAGTGGATGGGAAATTACGGTCAGTGGAGGGAAAATTTATGGATCTGAGAGCGCCACTGCGGGAACGTTGCGAGAAGCTGCTGGCCTCCAAGGAGGAGCACCAGTTCAACCGTGACCTGGAGGATGAAATTGTGAGTTGACCTGGGAGAGGAAGGGGAAGGGGACTGGTTCCCACAGATTTTACAAAAAGGAAGCATGTTCAGAATCGAATAACTTTATTCCAGTCATTCACCAGCAGAAAATAAAAAGAGAAAATAGTTTTCAAATATCCAGAGCATCCAAAAATAAATTAGAAGCGATGCTTCTATTTAAAAAAATAAAAAAATAAATAAAAAAAATAACAAATAATAAAAAAAAGAAAAAAAAAGAAGCGATGCAGAGAAAAATATGCTTAAAAGCTTCATTCTTACTGGCTAAAACTAACCTAAAATCCAGAATTATTATAGAGTCCCCTGACAAATTTGAGGAAGGTAGCTGAGATTGAAAAGAAAGACCAGTGGGTAATGCTGAGACCAAAGCCATTCCCTACTCAAAGAAGTTCAATTGCTCTTGATTATTTTTTGACTCATTTTGTACTCCACCACATAGAACCTGGCAATCCTATACGTTATTTCAGGATTAAGTAAGAATTGTTGGTACTGCGGGTCTGTTTTACTAGCCAGAAGTGGGGCAATTAGAGTATTTCAGAAGCTGTGTAAAATTGACAGTACAAAAGAACATGTTCAAAGCAAGCATTAAAAAAGAAAAAGAAAAATAGGGTGGGATATAACTTTGCAAGATTGCCTCCCAGAAGAGAGCAGTCAAAAGTGGAATTTCTCCAACAGAATTGCTGGGATTTTTCTCAATTTTTACCTCCCTTCTCGTCCTGCAGTTATGGGTGAAGGAAAGGATGCCCATGGCCGTTTCCACTGATCATGGCAAAGACCTCCCCACCGTCCAGCTGCTGATTAAGAAGAACCAGGTGAGGACAATCTTTGAAAAAGGAGCGAAGGTTATCACGATTCATTATGTAGACGAATGTCAACGTTCCAACTGACGAACCCAACCAAAGCAAGCACAGTCGAGACGTTCCAATCTTCCAATGCAGGACATTATTGGATACATCATTTTGGCACCAATGAGGGCGAATCCAAACCTGGTTAATTCCCGCACGAACCCACATAATTAAAATATAGGATTCTCCCTTCCCTACTAGAGCAGATCACATGGTCCAATTGAGTCTCCATATTGTTAGGAGGAAAAAGTCTTTGGTGCCAAAACGAACTTGTTTGGATTTTTTCTTCTTCTTCTGTCTTTCAATTCTTTCACCTTTCCTTCCCTTTCATCTTTGGGATGAAGGAGAAAAAAAGGCTTGAACTAAATGCTTGCAGAGGGCCTTTGAAAGTGACAGCCACTTGAAAGTAGGCGTAGGCTACAAGTTGCTCATCTCTGCATCAAACAATGACTAATCAGTCTTTCTGGTAAGCTTGCAAAAGTTAGGAGTCCAGGAAACCCCGATATATTTTTTCCAAGTAAGATTTTTTTCCTGAGTTTCAATGCATAATAGAAAAAGATGGGTGTACTTTTAAATTTTTTTTATTGTATTTCAAAGAAGATATAAAAAGCAAAATAATATTTTAAAAAGAAACTAGGGGGAAAAGGAAGAAAAGGGAAAAATGAAATTGGGGTACAGTCAAAGGAAAAGGTTACAAAGGAAATTAAAGTCCGACTTTGTTCAGATATAGATACAAACATAAAATACAGTAACTTTTAAACTAAGTTAAATCATCAGACGAGTGTCCCGTGGTACCTTGGTTCTCAACTGCTTTGAAACTCATCCAATTTGGTACTCAATACATTTTGACATCAAAATTTTGCGCCGGTAGTCATCGTTTGTTTGGTACTTGATGAACAAGCTGGAACTTGTTGGGTCAGCTGCCTTATGATTCACTACATTATACCTTATGAGAAAAATTCATTTGCTATCAATCGTTTTTGGTACTCAACGCGCCCCGCCCTCCCCCGGAACCAATTAATGATGACTACCAAGCAGGGGTGGGATTCAATTTTTTTAACAACCGGTTCTGTGGGCGTGGCTTAGGTGGTGGCCGTGGCTTGGTGGTAATGTGACTGGCTGGGCGTGGCCAACTCAACATCACTCACATCGAGGCACGCATCTTCTCGCCTGGCCTCTCGTGACTGTGGGGATGCTGCAACAGTCGTAAGTGTGAAAAATGGTCATAAGTCACTTTTTCCAGTGCCATTGTAACTTGGAATGGTCACTCCACACAAGCAAAGTGCCAGCAAAGGAGGGGAAAAAAACTCCAGAGAAGTTCCTGAGACAGGAAGTCTAGTCCTGCCAAGAACGTAATAAGGGTTAAGGGAGAGGCAGGTTCTGTAAGCAACACCAGAATGTTTCCTTTCTGCCTTCCTTACAGGATTAGGCCAGTAATTTCGTCTAACAACCAGTTTTCTGAACTGCTTAGAATGTTAACAACCGGTTCTAGCGAACAGGTGCAAACTGGTAGAATCCCACCCCTGGTATCAAGGTACCACTGTATATTTTTTTGAAGACTGCTCTTCCTCTAATTCTTGTTCCTGGACTCTCTCTTAGACTCTGCAGAAGGAGATCCAAGGTCACCAGCCACGGATCAACGACATCCTGGGGAGGTGGCAGGGGCTGGCGTGCAGCGGCCTGGAGGCAGAGCTACAGGGCCGGGTCGAGACGTTAGAGGAGATATGGCGGGAACTGCAAGATCAGGTGGACCAGAGGCGCGGACGGCTGGAGAAAGCCCAAATGGCCCAACAGTTTTACTTTGACGCCGCCGAAGCCGAGGCCTGGATGGGTGAACAGGAGTTGCACATGATGTCAGAGGAGAAGGCAAAAGTAGGTCTGCCAACTTAAAATGAGGATCGCTCGGTTCAATGAAACTATAGTTTAAGGTTTGGCTTTCATTTATTTATGTTTCAATATACATGTATAGATACATTTTTCTGACTAAGCTGCTCAGAGTTACCCTGTAGTAAGATGGAAGGCCAATATATTTTATAAATAAATAAAAATAAATAAATAGGTAGCCCTCCACTTATAACCACTCAGTGACTGAAGTTCCACAAGACCCCCTAAAACAGTGATGGCTAACCTTTTCAGCTTGGTGTGTCGAAAATCGGGAAAAAGTGTAGCCTTCCTCGGGTCGTGTGTCGCTTCAAGAAATATCAATAATTTGGTAATATTTGCAGCCCTAATAAAGAAAGAGTTATATTTTTAATATATTTATTATATTTATTAGTTCAAAAAGCAAAAAACAAATGAATCAATTAATTTGGGAAACGATCTCACTATCATGAAAGTCAGTGTTCTCTGCC